AAGTGGACGACAATAAATTTTTTCGTGTAACGTTTATATTGAATGACACTTGATCTGCAATGTCCCGCGACTAATAATAAATCATAAATATTTTTTTTTAAAAATTTCAAAATATCTTTAATTTTGAAATCATGTGAATCTGGTATAGAGAGAGGGATTTATATAGAATGTTTTCAGGGTGCTGTCTGTTATACATTATATAAAATTTAATAAAATCCGTTAAAAAATTGGGCCAGAGTTTTTTGTCCATTATAGAGAAAAATCCATTATAGAAAGATCCATTATAGAGAAACTGTATGTGTATAGTAGTTATTGAAAGCATTTTTGAATAAAATTTTCTTCAAAAAACAAAACTCATCCCTAATTAGAGAAACTCATCCCATAACTCATCTATATTAAAAGGAACTCATCCCATATTAACATATACTCATCCCTTAGTAACAAATATTCATTTCACATTTAAAATACTTAATTTATTATTATCATAGTAATAGGAAAACTTATTAGACATTTTGTAATGATCAACATTGAAACCAATAAAAAATTTTTTTGATCCATGATTTACTATTGATTTATCACGTGATTTCCCCTACCCTTAATAAAATGGATAAATTCTTGAATAAATTTAATTAATAAATAAATTTTCAAGTGGTCTACTAAAGATGGTTCCTCGATTAATTGAGACTAGTTGCAGCACATGAAAATTAAATTGTGGTTATAGTTGTGGCATATGAAAATGTGATTGCAGCTAATTGTGATTCCCATCTTTAATTGTTACTAACATGATAAAATGGTAAATTTTTGTACATGCAGCAACACGAAAATTTGTATGTGGTACATCACCTTTGTGATTTGACAGCTTTGAGTTAACACCAGTCCACGTTCTGTTTGAAGAATTGTAATTGATTTGAAAGTAATGTAAGTATTAAGACTAGACTAGAAAATTTTTTTAAAATTAAAAACATAAATAAATAGAAATCTTGTTGCAGGCTGGTTTGCATGTTCCCCTTATAAAACAATGAAAAGAATAATATTAGTGTGACCATATTTTATCTATTATTAATTTATTTTTAAAAAACAGGTAGAAAATTCAGCATCAAAAATTCTAGTTGATATATTCTTGTAATAACAATTATACTATTAATTAGTTGTTATTATTATATTATTATTATATGTGATAACAATTCTTTCTGATCATACACCACCAGATCTAAAAAAGTGATTAATAATTGATAGTATGATTGTTATTACAGGAATATATCAACTAGAATTTTTGATGTTGAATTTTCTATCTGTTTCTAAAAATAATAAAATATGGCCGCGTAAAAATTCTTCTGATCGTACACCGCCAGATCTTACAAGAATATATCATAATTAATAATAAATAAAATATGATTTCGTTCAACCATTAACCTTTGGAAAAAGAAATACCTTTTAATCTAATTATTACATTCCTAAATATATATATACAATATTAATATAAAAATAGGTAATATTAAAAAAAACCATGTTACCATTACTTGGGTTCATTATTTTTTTTATGAATCTCTCTAAAACTAATTATTCAACGCCAGATGAGATCTAAAAGGCTTGGAAAGCAAGTTTGTAAAATATACTTGATGAATGCTTTATCTAGTTGTATGATAAACGAGTTTGATTTTTTGAAAATGCATATAAGTATTTAAAATCCAAAAAAAACGCTCTTTACCTATTACCATATATTTTTGCATCTTGGTAAATACTTGATCGAATTGGGTGGTATTAGATTCAAAAGAAAGCCCGAATTCTATTGCACATAATATTCAAAACTTATTTATAATTGATATTTAGTAATGTTATTTAATATTGATTTTAAATCACAATTTGTTGACGCATTTTAATAATAATATTATTATTAAATATCTTTTACATTTCTCTTCTCCTTTTTTGACAATTGTTTGCTTGCTCATATTATCTAATTATTTTAAACGCAAAAGAAATTTTAAATATTATAAATATTCATAACGATATAATTATTTGCATTTATACTTACATTTGGACGCGTCAAAATTTTTTACAGATCATCCAATTTTATTATTTCATATTCATAACATGCGGGAAATGTCATGCGACTAGTTAATTAATTATATATTAAAATAATAATATTTTCCGTGTGTATTCCATTCTAGTGTATTAGTATGTTTTAACCAAGTTATATTTAACAAATAAAATGTTTTGTAAGAAAAAAAAAATGCACATTTTTATTTGCGAGTTTATCAGTTACTTGATAATAAAAAGGTCTGTTTTTATTTGCGACTTTATCAGTCACTCAATAATATTCCAGAACTATAAAATCTTATTCTCACATTCCATTTTTATTTCCATATTAATATTTACAAGTTAATATATATAACAATAAATGACATCATGGAAAAAATCCGGATTGCTTACTTAATTGTGCTGCTTTTATGAAATAAACTAAACATTTACGGAGTGATGACCACGAAGATTATGGATTAGTAATGTACATACAGCAACACGGAGATTTGTACGTGCTACATCACCCTTGTGATCTGTCAGCTTTGACTCCAACCACCAGTCCATGTCCTGTTTTAAGTTCTCAATATTTCTGAATAAAATTTGTAGTTGACTTGAAAGTAATGTACAGTATTATGACTAGGCTAGAAATTTGAAAGTATAAATAAATAGAAATCTACTGCAAACTGATTTGCATGTTCTCTTTCTAAAATATATAGAAAAATCAAATTAATGATTTAAAACAATGAGAATAATAATAATAATATATATAATATAATAACTAATTTGATTGTCGTATAACGATTCTTTCTAATCGCACACCATCAGATCTAAAAAAAGTAATTAATAATTAATAGTATAATTATTATTACAGAATATAACAACTAGAATTTTTGATGTTGAATTTTGTAAAATATTTTTTATCTAGTTGTATGATATGTGGGTTTGATTATTATGCATATTTGAAAATGCCATATAAGTGTTTAAAATTTCAAAAAAACGCAATAGTTCTTTACCTATTACCATATATTTTTGTATCTCATTAAGTATTTGATCGAATTGAGTGATCTTACATTCAAAAGAAGTCTGAATTCTATTGCCGATAATATTCAAAACTTGTTTATAGTTAATATGTAGTAATGTTATTTAATATTGATTTTTAAATCACAATTCATTGGTGCAATAATAATATTAAATATCTCTTTACATTTCTCTTCTCATTTTTGACAATTTGTATATTATTGTTGCTTGCCCATATTATCTAATTATTTAATCGTAAATGTAAAGCAAATTTTAAATTGTATAAATATTCATAACAATATAATTTATTTACATTTCTACTTATACTTGCGTCAAACAAAATTTTACATATAAAATTTTACTATGATGCAGATCATCCAATTTTATACTTACTAACTTTACTACCTGCGGGAAATGCCATGCGACCAGTACTAGTACTAGTTAATAATATTAATATACATTTGATTTACTGGATGTTTTTTAAAAATCCATATACATATGTAAACTCGATAAGTCGGTCGTGTGAGGTGAGCTCATATGACCTTATCGAATTAAATTACTTAATTGCTGATTCGCGAATGAATCGGAGAAATGATCGACATTT